CATAAAACAAAACGAGACTAAAGGGGCACACCAGCCCAGAGGCAAGGACTAAAAGGCAGTGGGAGACAGGAAAGATGGTAATAGGAAACCCAAGGTCAAGAAGGGGAGAGTGTTGACATGTCGTGGGGTTGGCAGCCAGTGTCACAGAATAATATGTGTATTGTTTAATGAGAAACTAATTTGCTCTGTAAACCTTCATCTAAAGCACAATAAAAAAGCGGGGGGAACCCTCAGAGAAAGACTTTTACCTGTTAACATTTTTTTTAGAAAAATGTGGTTTGCAAACTACTGCAGTAGGAAATAAGAAAAAAAAAAAATGATGCGTATTGATTGTGCCATTACTAATTATTTATGGCTCCAGGCCTGGAGGTGTATCTATATGGCAGTGGTTTGTCTGGAAGAGAGATGCTGGACTTAGTTGGTTTTTCTTGTGGAAATGGTTGGTTTGATTGAAATTGAGGTAGAGATGTCTGTGGGATGGTTGAGAAGAGGGAGGGATGGAGATGAAAAGGAAGGATATGTTAAAGTGGAATTGCTGCTTAATTGCAGGACAGAAATAGAACTCCCACGAATACATTCTGTCATTTGTTATTGTTAGGTGCGGGACAGTCAATTCTGACTCAAAGCAACCCAATGGGACAGTAGAAGTGTCCCATAGGGTTTCCTAGGCTGAAGTCTTTATAGGAGCAGATAGCTAGGTCTTTCTGCCAAGAAGCTGCTGTACGGGTTCGAATCACCAACCTTTTGGTTCTCAGCCAGGTGCTTAACCATTGTGTCACTAGGGTTCCTTTCACCCTTATTGCATACTCTCAAAAGTTGTTAATTTATGGACTTTCTTTTCTTTTTTTTTTTTTTAACTATATCTGTGTGAAAAAAGATGTATGCACAAAACATTCATAGAGCTATGCTAATTGTGAATCATTTTATTTGACTGGAGGATTATTGTTGGGTATTTTCCCAGTTAAACAGCCATTTGGAACAACACATTTCCCTGTTTGAAAACAATTTAAGACAGTGGCCAGGTTTTTTTGGCCAAGCTTCAGAACCTGTTTTAGTATCAAATATTGTAGATTTGTATATGTTACCTGTTTAGAATTAATCTTTTCTCTTTAATGGCTGTATAATATTCCATATATGAACTTAATATGATTAAATCACTCTATTTATTAATGGGCATTCATTTATTTTCTTTTTCTTTTTTTGCCACTCCAAAGAACACTGTTATTAACATCCTAATGTTTCTATTTCTTTGCGGTAGATTTTCGGAAGTAGTATTGCTAGGTCAAAGGATATATATGTATATATAATTTTTATTTTAATGGATGCTGATTACTTATCAAAATGATTGTAACACTTCACATATTTGACAGCAGTGTACCCTTTGTCCACATGCCTGCCAGGAATGGAATTTGTTGCCTTACACAAATCTTACTGATTTGATTGATAAAAAACAATATTTCATTTTTACTTTTATTACCTTTTTCCTGACTGCAAATTCCCTGACTCAAATTGAATTTGAGAATCTTTTCAAATGTTTCTTGGCCATTTAGATTTGTTACTTTTTAATTTGTCTACTCATATCCTTTGCCCACTTTTATTTTTTTTTTCTATTAGGCCCTTGTCATTTTCTTTTCAATTTGTAAGGTCTTATTGTACATTATAGTTGGTAACCATTGCTATCTGCCTTACAAATAGTTTTTCCAGATTTGTCATTTAGTGCCTGTTGGTTTTGTTTATGCTATCTATTGCTCTGTTTTAGGTGTTTTATTTATCATCTGTTGTTTCTTTATTTAACATTTTTGTTTCTGTTTTCATTGACTGTTTTCTAAAGTAATTTGAGACAATAGTTGTGAATTAGAAATGCAGAAACCGATCCCAGCTGTTACTTAAGTATAGACATAATGCAGCCACACATTTCTTTCCAACAAAATGGATTTGAATTTATCTTATTTCTCCTCTATACTGACCTGGTATAAATCTCTACTAGTATTTAAGTTAAAATACTACTTTCCTTTCAACAAGAAAGGAGCCCTGGTAGTGCAGTGGTTAAGAGATCAGACTGCTAAACAAAAGGTTAGCCGCTCTTTGGAAACCCTGTGTGGGGCAGTTCTACTCTGCCCTGTAGGGTTGCTATGAGTCCGGATCGACTCAACAACAATGGGCTTGGGTTTTGTTGTTGTTTTTTTTTTGCTTTAAACAAGAAAAGTTATTTTGAGTACTAGTTAACGTTTTAAAAGATCATCACTGTACATAATAGAATAGGAAACAGCTTCTAACTATAGTCTGTGGATGCTTGTATGTATTTGTAATTAGTAAAAAATACAGGTTACATATAGAATAAAATTTGTAATTTTTATTAACTTTTTGCTAAGGCCTCAAGTGCATTTTCTAACATTCGTTTTTCTGTATTCATATACAATACATTTCTGGGCCTGTTTGTTTTTTGTGAATTTGTGTGTTTATTGTAGGCATATTGTATGCATAGTGCTCATGCATAAAACCAGATAATTGGTTCATTTGATGTTCTTTGACATTTTTGGTAATACTTTTCTTCCTAGATGAAGTTATTGTTTTTATAAATTTGAATATGTATTTGTCATGCATATTTTCAGATAACTTCTACATTTTCTACCTGTTTTCTTGCAGAACACGCTAAATATAACGAACAATAACTATTATTCTGTTGAAGTTGAAAACATCACTGCACAAGTTCAGTTTTCAAAAACAGTTATTGGAAAGGCACGCTTAAACAACTTAACCAGTATTGGTCCACTTGATATGAAACAGGTAAGCCTCAGTCATGAGAGAATTTCAAGGAGTTAACTAAGTCTCAACTTTGCATGTCATGTTAACTTGAGGAGGGCAGGAGAATTTCTCAAAAGCTTGACTTTGGAATATATCCCTTGCATGTGTAAGAGGAGATCTTAGAATCAAGCTCCTAAAGAGATTCCTAAACTCTTGAAGGTATAAAATGTATCTGAACTATTTAATGTTTTGATCCTGTTCTCTATTGATTTTTTTTTTCGCCTTTCAGATTGATTACACAGTACCTACTATTATAGCAGAAGAAATGAGTTATATGTTGTAAGTTCTGACTTTTTAATAACTTTCTCTTATTAAATAATGAAGTTACAGAATAAAGTGTAAAGAATATGTTTGTTTTTTAATTCCCCATAATCTTATCGGTGAAAAAGAACCACATTTTAGAATATTCCTTCTGGCGTGTGATCATCTTCATACTTCCCTTTTGCTTATACTCATAAAATTATGATTATTTTGTTTTTCAGTTTTTGGATCATAAACACCATGTCACTTTTTATTTATAGTACTATATTATGAGAACCGTATTTTCATATATTTGTTGATGCTTTAGTATAACAGGACTATAAATGGTAATAATGCATAGTACTCTAATATTGGTTTGAAATTTCGAACCTTTTAAATCAGATTAAAATGATTATTAACACTTATTGGTTAAAAAAAAAATCATAAGTTTCCACTATCTTTTGATAATGAGCCTGGATCTAGAATTTTTGGGTAACTGAGAATTTCAAATGGTTGCATACTTTCCAACTGCAGCAGTATGAAAGCATATATAATTTTAGAATAAGAAGTCATGAAGTGTATCAGTATTTGAAGTACAGAAAATGCTTAATAAATAAAACGCTTACTATATTGTCTTAATAGTATCTGTATTTGCTTTAACATAGGAAGAGGAATGGTAATTAAACTACTTTAATTCATAATGTCATAATTTGTATTTATTCACATACTTTCTTTAACAGTGATTTCTGTACACTGATATCCATCAAAGTACATAACATAGTACTCATGATGCAGTAAGTATGATTCTTTTTCCTTTGAAAGATATTTTTTGTTAAAACTTTATATTTATCACATTGGCTTATAGCATATAGAGCATATTAGCTTTATAAGAGTGCTGTGAGGTAGGATAAATACTATCCTCTCTACAAATGAGTAAAGGAGAGATTACAGTAGTAGTGAAGGATCTCATGGCTGATAAATAGTGAATCTAGGCATTGAAAAACTCAGGAAAATGGTAGGGGTTGGGTAAAGAGGAAGTCTTAGTTCGACATCCAGTGCCTTTCTGCCTTGCTAAATTTTTGTTAACAGTAAAGAGGAGGAGAAGATAGTAAAATCAAGTAGGACGTCCCTAAAAGGGGTACAGATTTTGTCTTTAAGGACAGTCGTGTTGGAATATGCTGTGAGTAAGCAGGTCCTATCCTGTGATATCTTGTGTTTGGAAGAAATCAGCTTTTTAATTGTTCCAGGATGAACTAGATTCTGGTTTAGGAAAGGAAATAAAAAAACATTGATATGATTTGAAAAGGTGCTCCAGAGCTCATGGTAGATAAGATTGGGGCAGTCAGCAGTAAAGTAGGATGGGATTAGGGTGGAAGGACGCTGGACTGAGAATGAGAAAGAATGAGCAGCCTAAGTGTTTGCATGTTACGTATTTCCTAGCACCTGTAGAGCAAGAGGTCATAGGCTGGTCTAAAAATTCTCAATAGGAAATAAAATTGACTAGGTGTCAAAATTGTCTGAAGGTTTAGGGCTTAGAATTGGCATAGTCATGATCGGTGCAAAGCATAACCATCCTTTGAGTTCAGGATTTGCACCTTCACTGCATGAAGGCATGCTAGGGCATGAGCTCGAGAAGCCTGGGTCAACCATGATTTTCTTTCTTCTTCCTAAATGTTTATTTTTAATTTTTCAACATAATTATATTTGTAACTTGAGATATAATACCATTATTTTGACTTTTTTTTGTAAATGCAAAATTTTCTTTAAAAATGCTTCAAATTTTTTGAGACCAGGATTAAATTTAAGAGCAGAGCAGTGATATTTATTGGGATTTCACAATTATAATTTGATTTTTATAATCTCTTTTAAAAATGATAATTCCCATACTATCCCACTTCTTAAAATTAGACATAATGAAATTAGTGAAAGTAAGCAAAACTTTCCAAGAATCTCTAAAAACTACCTCTCTTCCTTTTAATTTCATTTCATTATTAGCTTTGATGATGAACATTTTCTTAATTTAGTTCTTTCAAGTTAGTATTGTAGCAGTATTGTTTTTTACTTTTTAAATTGTAAATCTAAGTAAGGTATTCTAGCTGTATCATGATTAAATAGGCTTTGTGGAATCAGCCTGAAAACCTGAGCACAATTTTTCTATAGGAGTACACATTCTGAATTTAAAAAAAAAAAAAAGGCAAATTTATAAGTAAACTTTGGAGTGTTATCAGTTTATTACTTGGGTAATACGCAGTGGTTTAAGTGCTCAGCTGCTAACTAAAAGATCGACAGTTCAAACCCACCAGCCACTCAGTGGGAGAAAGAGGTGGCAGTCTGCTCCCATAAAGATTATAGCCTTGGAAACCCTATGGGGGCAGTTCTGCTCTATACTGTAGTGTTGCTATGAGTCAGAATCAACTCAGTGGCAATTGGTAAGCCAATAAAACATTGTGAGTTATAGATTTGGTATTTTGATGTTTAGCTGACATTTGATTAACAGTTTTCCTATGCTAAAAGAACTATGATTACTTTTAAGTGTGTGAGAACTCACTTTTTTTTTAAATTGTGCTTTAAGTGAAGGTTTACAATTCAAGTTAGTCTCTCATACAAAAATTTATACATACATTTCTATGTGACCCTAGTTGCTCTCCCCATACTGTGACAGCACACTCCACTTTTCCACCCCGGATTTCCTGTGTCCGTTCAACCAGCTCCTGACTCTCTGCCTTCTCATCTCGCATCTGGACAGGAGCTGCCCATTTAGTCTTGTGTCTACTTGAGCT